CGCGCGTACGCTCGGTCAGCGGTCATCCGCGCGCACCCCATGGTTGACAATTGCCTGCGCGCAGCGCGAACGGCAACTTTTCATGCTTTCAACCTATTTGGGCGATCGCCTTCATCCTGGAGCAGATATGACATGCGATACAATATCATTGAAGGCTCACATTACTAGTTGTTGTTTTTGTTCAAAAATACCTTGAGTAATATAGTGGCACCGAGTGAGTTGTTTTTTGATGGATTTGGAAGCGTCATACCATGATGTAAGGAAGAACAGATTTTGTGTTTTGTTTTGCGATTACAATCTTGTTCGAATTGATCATGATACACTGTTTTCGTAGGATGTGTAGTTACAGAGTGAAACGTTCAAGGCTGCAGTGATGATCTTGCTAATTTTCACTGCACTAATCGGTAAATTTTCGCTTTATGGTGGCAATTTCTGCCAGTAACGGAAAAAATCTGTAGGATGCGCCTTCACAGCAGTACCGCTGATAGATCCTAGTACTTTGAGAGAGTGCCCATGTAACCTTTCAAGTTTGTGGTTAGATGTGGTTGTTGCAATTGACAGCTCAAAAGGGATGACGGCTGTCGGTCTGACACAGGTACGTTGAATTGGACATGACATATCTCAAAATTGGGGCTCAGGTTATAGCAAATGTCCTGACTGTATTTGAAGATACTAAAATCGCCCAGGGCGTGGGGCAGCACACTCGACTTGGTGTGGTCACTTATGGCGAAAAGGCAACAGTGGCAAGTTTTTGCTTTTGTTGTTTTACAAATACTTTCGAATACTTCTCGTCATCTTTCATACTTCAGAGATACGATTTGAACGAGTTCCAGTCTTATGAGGATGCGTGCCAGAAATTATGGGAGATTGATTGCGGCAATGATATGTATCCAAATCTGATGCAGTGAGTTTATGCCAATTTAAAAGCAGCATCCATGCAATAATAGGAAGGATAAATTCTCCACGTAGCACGGTAGAAGACCGCTAAGATATCACCCAGCGCGATATCAAAATTGGCAAGAAAGCAGCAAACGGCTGGAAGAAGCCTTCCATCCGTCCGGATCTTTGCCACCTACGAATAAGCCAGTGCATATTGATTCTGATTGCATCTCCCTAGGTTACTGTCTAATTCGATACCATATTTCTTTTCTCATATAGTCGTCCTCACCTTAGTAGTTGCTAGGTGACCAAATTCAAATTTGAATTTGGTCACGCTGATTGCAGCAGGAGCGCGGCACCCTCCGGTCGTAGTTCAAGCCTGCGCAT